TAGGTACAAAGGGGCCCCTTTGTACCTAACAAGGCAATGTGTACATGTTGCCTTTGTTTTTGGCCTGGTGATTCTAGTTGTTTCATACTCCCTGGATTCTGCCAAAACGCGCTTCTTGCAGTGCAGCTGCTTAACTGCCATCCTGTCACCTCCGCTCCTGCAATGCTAGGTACTTATCAGGTGGGTTTTTTGCCTACACACTGTATTTCCCACATAACATGCTCTAAATTTAGTGAGGATCCTCCACCATGTGCCTGACCACTGATACAATATATATAAAATAGAAATAAATAAAATGAGAGGTTTTGTACAAGAATATCTGTGTATGTAAATGCTAATTATGAGTAAGAAATAAGAGAAATATTTGTGAAACCTGTGATAAATGTATATAAACTCAGAAAATATCACAAAAAATTAAACAAATTAAAATTTTGCCACCAAAAGGCATACCACACTGGTGTAAAACTTAATTCTGTGAGCTTACACTGCAAAAAAAAACTTGCTCAACTTCCTGCAGTTGAAATGCAGAAACTCCCAGGAAGCTTCTGTTGTTACTCCAACCATTCTCCAAAAGTTATTCAACCAAGCTTTGATGCACAGTCACTGACGTGCCAAAAAATCTAAATATGAAAATTTGTGGATTTTGGATGGTAGCTTGGCTGTAGAATGCTGCATGTCAACTTCAGGCAGTTGAGCAGGTTTCTTTTGCAGTGTTATGTATCCAAATGAGATCAAGCCATACTTTCTAAAATAAACACATCAGGCACAGACTTGGTAGCCTAGTTGATAAAGGAAGCTCTTCTAGTGTAGTGTCTTAGCTTCTGGCTAAGTTTTCTGGTTCAAATTCTGCCCAAGTTGATCTTTCTTGCTAAATTTCTGACAAATGGAATGTTAATTTTCACATCCTCCATCAGCTTTATGTGGTGTTTAGGATTGACCAGAGTAACAAAAGGAATCATTTTTTTCTTGTAGATTTTGTCAATAAAGTTGACTACTTTTGGTTGGCCAGGGAAAAAACAACCAGGCCCTTTTGATTGCTATATTAGCTCCCCCACATCATTGTTGATACTTGTCCAGTTTGAAAGGCTGTAAAAAGGTTCCTTGGAGCATATTTTGGTTTTGAGTCCCTCCACACCTTGACCTGTTGACTGTTCTTTCCAATCTCAAAAGAATATTTTTCAGTCCTGAAGACCTTTGCTCAGTCATTAATTTTCCATAATATTTGATTCTTGGCAAGCTGGAGCCTTTGTCCCTGGTGTGAGTTGCTGAGAAAGGGCTTCTTGACAGCCACTCAATTATTGAAACTGAGTTCATGAGCCCAACAACTGATGGTGCAAGTGGGGATTGAGTTCATAATTTTCTCCTTCACCTCAGGAAACTTCATCCTAGGCTTGTGTTCAAGAGTCAATTGGAGCTTTCAAAGATCTCTCTCAGTTTCTTTCCAAGGTCTTCCAGTTCTGGTGGCTGTCCCAACAATGGGTGGCCTCTTGGCAAACAACATCCAAGCTTGTCCTCCCAAAACTGAGCTTGTGCCCAATTGAGGTGTTTGTCATCCAAGCAGTGGGCATGCCTACAATTGTTCCCTTCTGTTAAGTGGAAAGATGAGTTTTTTGGTTCATCTAAAAAAGCAATAATAAAATTAAAAATTAGTTTAATTTTTTGAAAATTTAAAAAAATTACTGTATGCTAATTGCCTGTATTTAAAGTTATTTTAGCTTTTGATGTGCTGTTTGATGTGATCTCATTTAAGTAGACAGTGCACTGTTTTTCAGCAAAATTCAACAACAGTTCACACACATGAAAACTCACTTCATCCTCACCAAAACTATCTGGCTAGTGACTGAGGTTCCATGAAGGCAGGCAAGGATTGATTTTCAAGTTTTAGAGAAGTGGTTCAAACCCAGTTTCTGGAACCACCTGTTTTTTTATTGTAATTTATTCTTGCAATTTTCAAGAAACTGTGTGCTGTGGTACACAATCGTGGGGAGAAATCAATTCTGGCAAGAAAAAAATCAATATTTGTGCCAGAATCAATTACTTGGGCTCTGTGGTACAGAGCCTAAATCACATATTGATAGATGAAAGAGCTCCAACAATCAAAATTCAGCCCTATTTATAAGACTGAGTTCAACAAACCGGTGGATCCTTTTGCTTGGTTTGCACATAACCTATGGCACACATATATCTCAGTGTTCTCAGGTATTTATTGAGAAAGAAAGATATTTTACTTACCTGGCACATGGTGACCTTGGTTTCATTTCAAAATAAACATATGGGCTGCATGAGGTAAGGTAAAGCAACAGGTAGATAGACCATCAAAAGTGGATTATGTAGAGCATACTCATTGTTCCTGCCTTCATATATAAATCAAGCAACCACCCCACAGGGGGGCCATGGGTTTTAACAAAGTTCCCACACTCTATGTCTACATTAAGCTTTTTTTTTTCAGAGGGCAAATTTTCTTTTTCCACTTTTTTTTTGGTGCAAACATTGCAACCTTACCTGGGTACGCTGTAGGCAAGCAACTTAAACTGCTTGGAGCCAGAGGGTTTTAAAAACTGGGCAAATGGCAGATATAAAGGGGGAGGGATAGTAGGATGGTGGGATGAAGACAAGAAAGAGGATGGATGGTCAGCTGAAGTGGGACTCACCTTTCACATTGAAACTTAACATGACTGATCCTGCCCAATTGCTTTTAACTTTCAGAAATCTGGCATGTGAGTCCAGGGCAGATACTTCCTGTCCGGGCATTGGTTGTTATCAATGCAATGTCCTCAGAATGCGATATCCTATGTTTTCTTTGCCGGCAGAAATGAGACAACTGCTTATTGGATACTGGACCATCTCTTTTCCAACCTCATGCCAACACTTTACCAACTGTCTGGAATGATTCATGGGAGTAACTGCACGAGGTTTACGCTAGCACATCAAGAAAGATACTGGGAAGAACGATTTTGATAATTGCTGCTAGACGGGAGGTATGTATCTTATTGACGGAGAGAGGAGAAATCTTGGATGCCGATTCTTCATAAGTGAAGTCAGCATTGTGAGTGCAAATGGGTTCGTGCTTGTACTGATCTGCTCAAAAAAGAGAAGAAAAAAACAATTCTTTTGCTGATAAGAACGGGCCATAAGCGGTTCTTATAGGAGATGAGCCCCGCCAGTTTTCTCGTGGATTCGGTCAAAGTAAGGTTGAGCCTGCGCCCAGCCGGCCATATGGGAGCCTGGAGAAAAGCAGAGCACGAGTAAGCGATACTAGAGTGATAAGCTGGGGCTGATTTTAGAGAGGACCGTATATACTGACCAACGGCTCGGTAGGTGAATTCTGCTTCCTTCTCTCCAGCTTTGATGGTCTGAATTCCGCGCCCACCGGCGGCCGCATCCGCTAGCAGCTGGATCCTGCAGAGGCTTTCGAGGCTGATAAACCACCAAACTGCGGCTTCAATGCTGGTGCCTGTCGTCAACAAACCGTGCTAATTGCGAGAAAAAAAAAGAAAAAGAGCCTTATCATCAGCATACGACTTAGGCGAATGGATGACGAGTGGAGGCATGCGTTTACGTTTTGCAGTATCACAGCTTTGTTTTGACCAAGCGCCTCTGAAAACCGGACTTCGGTCAGATGTCATAGAAGCTGAATGAAAGGTAGAAAAGCGGAACGAACTGGCAATGTTGTTACCCTCCTCTGCCGCCAAAACGACTCCGCCGAAGCCGCGGTAAACGGCCAGGTCGTTGTAAAATGCACAAGCGTCCTGGGTGGTGATATCGAGGCTAATTAAAAGCTGCAAGGTCAATTTTCCGAGTGAAGCATATTGATACTGAATTGATGGAGAAGTGCATAACTCACTCGATACCGAGTGTGGAAAACGCACGTCCATAAGTACTGTGACTATGGCAAGCCGCCTCGACATCCGGACGGGCAGTATGGATGGCATGACTGAAGAACACCCGGGCACAAGGAGAACCCATTTAGATGGGAAAGGACTCGACTGGCAGTGAGAGTGTTGCCTTACTGGATTGCGTAAGCTGCCTGTTATCGGGGACAGAGTCAAACAAAGTGATGGTTGTAGTACAGACTGTGTGCCATGATTTTGACATACCTCGTTGTAAACCTGCCTGTCTGGTTTACCACCCATCACAATCTCACCCTCAGGGTTGATGAGCAACAGGTCCGAAACGGTCATTTGAGAAAATGCTCGGCCAAAAGGGTTCACCCTTTATCGTGTTGTAAACCATGTTAGCTCGGAGATCTCATTATCAGGTTCATGCAAAACAAGCGATAAAAACCTCACCAAAAGTGATCGGTGAGGATCGGATCTCTCAGCGTTAAATGACCAGCAACGCCCTCATCGAAGCCATACTGGAAGTAACAGAGGAGATCTCAACAAGTCAGTTCGGGATACTCCGTAGTACAAGATGAGGGAAAGAGCGTAGCTCACCTCGGCAAAGATTCTGAAGGCAGCGGCAAGTTTACCAAGCTTATACTTGCGTTCTTCTTCCTTGTCTGTGAACGTTGGTGGGGGAATAAACTTGAGCTTTTTAGCGTTCTTTTGGACGACGTCGCTGGCGGGTGGAGCCGATGACTCGGAGAGAGCCTGGGTCTGGCTGGCCATGATGAATAAATTTTCCTTAAGTTTACTCTCGAGCCGGGAGAATATCGATGTCCTGTAACGGCGAAGTAATTATTTTTGTTGAACCAGATGAGGAGCGGGGAGGAACCGGGCGAGCAGGGTTCGTCGGAAAATCACGAAGGTATTTTCAAGTCTCACACTCATTGAATTGCCTGAGAATGAAGTGGAGTTGGCGGGAAATAGACATACACCACGGGTGCAAGAAAGGTTAATCAAAACCAGCCGTAAATGTTTTTTGCTTACTGGCTGGTTTCATCCATCGATGGTTGTTCAAATTGAAACCTTTTAATGTTTCGGCCTCGCAGACAATGATGTATGAGTTTTTTTTTGCTGTGCGATCATGGTATTTGCTCCAAAAAATCCTCTTCGTGTATCAAGATCAGTGCCGCAGACTGCTCGGATGCCTTGTGCATCGTGAGCGCAGCATACCACTAGCCTGGGCATCTTTTGCATCAAGGGCTTCTTTAAGCTTTCCACGGCGGCGAACGTTCCCTGATTCGGCAGGAGGACGACCGCCAGAGCCCTTGCCAGCGGAAGTGGGGCACACGGGTGGAAGTACTGAGAGGTGGGCCTCTTGCTGAGGCAGAGGTACCGGGTGCAGTAGGGATAGCGGAAGAGTTGATTGGGGTGGAGCCGTTGCGGATGTATTCATGGATTCAGGGGGTTGCAGCTGATGAACTGAGAGTTTCCCTCTTTTGGATCAAGTACTCTTTGGTTTCACTGTGTAAAACTTGGATAACACTGTAAGTATACCCCTTCACTCTGATAATAGACTTTGTGATTTGCAACCTGGAAAGAAATCTGGAATATTCTGCCTTGAGTGATATGAAGCTTGACTCCTGTTCTTGATATCCCCACTCTGTCTGTGTAGATAGATCCATAGATACAACAGCTCCCCCCCCTGCCATCCGCATTCCATCAATTCCCTCACCCTCACCACCCTTGATTCCCTCCGCTGTGGAACTTCTCTTTGGGGGAGAAAGAGCTTGGAAGGGAAATAGTCAACTACAAAGGGGAGTAATGTAATTTGAAGCTAAGGGTGCTGATATAAGAGCTGCCTTCCTATCTAATGCTGAGGTTGGGAGAGTT